GGTTGTCATTTAGTCATCCCGCACAAACCCGAAGAGATGCCGCTGGCGCATCTGGGTAAAGTGCTTATTCCGTGGCCGAACCGGATCGCCAACGGCTGTTACCGCTATCAGGGGCAGGAATATCAGTTACCCATTAATGAACATAGTTCAAAAGCCGCTATTCACGGGCTGCTTGCCTGGCGAGACTGGCAAATTAGTGAATTAACCGCCACCAGCGTTACCCTGACAGCTTTTCTGCCGCCCAGTTACGGCTATCCGTTTATGCTGGCTTCACAAGTTGTTTATTCGCTCAACGCACACACGGGTCTTTCCGTTGAGATCGCAAGCCAGAATATCGGCACTGTCGCAGCGCCTTATGGCGTGGGTATTCATCCTTATTTAACCTGCAACTTAACATCTGTTGATGAATATCTGTTCCAGCTTCCGGCAAACCAGGTTTATGCCGTCGATGAGCACGCGAATCCGACAACGCTTCACCACGTTGATGAGCTGGATTTAAATTTCACGCAGGCGAAAAAAATAGCCGCGACAAAAATCGACCACACCTTTAAAACCGCTAATGATTTGTGGGAAATGACCATTACCCATCCACAGCAGGCGCTTTCGGTAAGCCTTTGTTCCGATCAACTCTGGGTGCAGGTTTATAGCGGTGAAAAATTACAGCGTCAGGGACTGGCAGTTGAACCTATGAGTTGCCCGCCTAACGCCTTTAATTCAGGTATCGACTTATTATTACTGGAATCAGGAAAACCGCACCGCCTGTTTTTTAATATTTACGGACAGAGAAAATAACTTGTATTGATTAGCAGTCAAAATCATTGAAGAACATTTCACTCGCTAAAGGCAACATTATGTATCTTCAATTTATTAAGTTAAAAACAGCTCAGCTTCTGTAAAGTTTTTATATATCAGTTTTATGAGAATCATTTTACATAAGCCTGTAATAACAGGAAGGCAACAATCTCGTTCTCAACTCTATGGAGATTAGTTATGGATACGCCACGTCCACAGTTATTAGATTTTCAATTTCATCAGAATAACGACAGTTTTACCCTACATTTTCAACAACGTCTTATTTTAACCCATAGCAAAGATAATCCTTGTTTATGGATTGGCTCAGGTATAGCGGATATCGATATGTTCCGCGGTAATTTCAGCATTAAAGATAAACTACAGGAGAAAATTGCGCTTACCGACGCCATCGTCAGCCAGTCACCGGATGGTTGGTTAATTCATTTCAGCCGTGGTTCTGACATTAGCGCCACGCTGAATATCTCTGCCGACGATCAGGGGCGTTTATTGCTGGAACTACAAAACGACAACCTTAACCACAACCGTATCTGGCTGCGCCTTGCCGCTCAACCAGAGGACCATATCTA